CAGTTTTGCAGCATCAGCTAATTTTCAGAAAAAGGCTGTGTAACCAGTCTAACCACTGAAAAAGGCAGCAGCTGAGAAAGCGTCAGTTCCGTCCTGAAGCCAAGAATAAAACGTCGTGTTACACTGCTCAAGAAGTGCAAATTCATGTTCAGAATGTGCGGCATGTTCATAACATCGTCGCGGCTGAGCGCCAAGGGGCGACGATGGCCTTCAGGTCGCCACCTTTGTGCTTATTTGGTGCTCAGAACAACGTGTCCTAACTTTTTGACCTATTTTCCTGTGAGGATGGATCGAATGATGTTTTCCCCAGAGCCAAACGAGAAAACTTCATTAGCGCGCGCTCAGCTGGCGGGTTGAATAAATGCCCTTTGCTCGGGTGCGAAGTCGACTTGACCACCCCCCTGAGATCTCGGAAACTGAGGTAGCTAGAGCCACTAGATTCACAGGGTGTGTTAACATGCATTTCAACTCATTTGTGTCAAAATTTAAGGTTCCTGAGTCATGCACCTGGGGGCAAGTAAGGTCAAGCATTATCAAACTTCAGATTGATGTCCGAAGTGCCCCCAGGCCTCCTCATACAACCGCCGTGAACCTAAATACCTGTTCCAAGCAAAAGTTCAATGGTGCTTATCTAAGACCAGTAACCTTTTTGACGTTGATCAGGTTAACATGACCAAAAACCTAAAACATTGCTGCTATCTTGTCACTCAGATCAGCGTCAGGCATTACGCTGGGTGGTATGTCCCTTAACACAAAATATTGAACCGGGTCATATCAAGTCAGTGACCCAACTCTGACCTTTAAAAAGTCCATGGAACATGCCTATTACGAACCCTGTGATTAATAAATTGACAAGTGCCAGAAACTCCCCCATAAGGGCCGGTTCCAGTAAAAAAAGCAACTTAGTTTTGACCTCAGTCTTATTTTCACGTCTGTCCCTAGGTCAATGAGCGTTGTTTGTAGTTCTAAATTCAATCGTTTTATCTGCCTGCGAACATATCTCAGAGATGTATGGCCGCGTCTAACAGTCCGTTGTTGCATTAGGTTCAGTGATTTCCTAGAATAACTTTCGCTGATAGTCACGGCCTAACTTTGGCACGCCATAGTTAGGTCAGCAGTCCCCAAGGCCAGTCTCATGTTTTACACCAAAACATATGCTACCCCATTGCCTACAGCTGTGCAAAGTTTGGGACGGCTACGTCGCGCCATTCCAAAATCATTCTGGAAAACCTTCGGGGAGCAAACGGCCCCCACCGGGCATGTGTTAGTTAACATGAGCCATGCGTATTTTCCAGCGCTGATTGTGAACACTAAGAGGCTAACGCCCTAATCATTTATAAACACTGAGAACGACCGATGGTCGAAAAGTGTTTTTTTTACCTGATTTCATTCGGTAACAAAAAATAAAATATCGAAGAGTCGAAAATGGAATCACATGCATCGAATGTGTCTAAATGACAATTTAAATTACGTAATTGAACTCTCGGCCGTGCCTCCCATGTGTACGAGCACTGCGAAGAGTGGAAAAAGACTGCCCCTAAATTCACAAGTGAAACTTGGTAAAAATTAGTGAGATGGACACATTTGAAAGGGAGTGGGTCCCGTGATGTTTTCTCTGGGGCACCCCTATCAATGCTTTCAGAAACGAGGTTGACGTGGGGGCAGTAATGACGTCCATGAGGTGGAGCGCGGGGAAGGGGGCCGTTCAACATGGAGGTATGGTGCCTAAAAGAGATGCCAAATTCAGATGTCCCTGTTTATTGCTACTATTGCAGATGATTTAGTCCGGTACAGGTAGTCTGTGACAGTGCATGTGGGAACACCACCTTCAGTCCCTGGCTACCTATTGGCCCTGCCTGGACGATTATCTTTTTCGACTCATGGGTGATTGGCCATATCGCGATTTCCCCTCAAGAACCTAATATCCCCCCACCTTCAGGTGAATCTCCCTGCCCCGATTGGAACTGAAAAGTCTGGCTTAGAACATCATGAAGCTCGTTCATCATAGAGGTTAGGGATTCCATTGACACCGGGACAGTAGCTGCACATAATTCGGTGGACCGCCAAGTGAGCGGACGGTATGCGCCGAAAGTAATGTTTCAGCGGTGGGCCGATGGGCGTCCATGCCGCCGATGACACGTCGTCCCATAGGCCTAATTAACGAGGCTATGAAATGTGCTGCTCAGTTTACTTTGTAGTTTATATATCCGGGCTGATACACCAAACACAACCTGAACATCGAAAATTACATTCAGGAGGTCAAGGAGCTCAAGAAGTAACCAACGTTTTTCTACATAGGCACCGGCATACAGGACATAGGACTAATCACGCTCTCCCAGACATCACCCGAAAACGGGACCCCACACAAAAAGCGGAAAGTGAAAACGTCTGGGATTTCTAACGACGCCCGCCTGGTGTATAGCCAGGCCTTATGCAATGTGACTTCACCAATACGCAGGACATAACACTGTAGAGCATTCTGGCACCCGTCTCAATGCTGCTGCGCACACCATGTCTCTACGAGGTGCTTCCTGCCGTGTCCGCGTTTCTCCTTTCTGGCGCGGCCGCACGCGCTGCCCACGCAGCTGGAGCCTGCCGTGACGAGCCATTCCGACCAAGCTTGCCCGGCGGGCAGCTCCAGCATTCCGATACGTCGCCGTGGAGCCGCGCAGCCAGTGACCTCCTGCAGTGGCCGTTACGCCCCCATCGCTCGGAGCAATATCCATACCCATTTTCACATGCTATGAAGACTATTCGTCACAGGCCAACGGCCACGAGGAGACAACATGACACAAGCAAATGGCTCACGTACCCACGCCCTGCATTGCCTGCCTGTCGTTGCCTTCGAATGTTGCCGCATGGATGCGGCACAAGGCTTCGGGTTGACTGCGGTGGCGCCCTCCGTGGCGATGCAGCACAACTTTCACCAGAAAACCCTCGTTGCGTCACCCACGCGGCGCCCACACTCGCACTGCTGCCTGCTGGAAATGATGCAATGCACGATTATGCAGGAAACCTGGGCGCGGTTTACAAGAGATGGCGTGATATCCTTGCCAGGCGGCTTCTTGTGCACTCGCGCGTCTGCTATAGCGTTCCGGGGAAATAAACAAATCGAAAGTTTTCTGCTCAGCGCGCGTCTCCGACAAAGGCTGTACACGTCCTCCCAGCGTGTTGTCGTTCCTGCGTAGTGTTCTGATTCCGGCATGTTTCCTTCCACGCTACGTCCCCCATTCCCCTTAGTTCGAGGTTATCAGGTCTGGCCATACACTTTAAATTGTTCAGATCATTACTGTTCGTTTACCTAATCAGGCCTTCAGTCGTGGCTTTCGTGAACGTACACCTTAAAAGCCAACTTGTTGACTTAAACCACCTTAGGTCCGACAGTGTTGCTCCCTGACTTACAACCGCGCTGCTGATACCCAAAACCGTCCTCGGGGCGCGCTGATCCAGTTGGCTTATAGAACTCGTTCGTCGTGACACGCCGTGAAGAGTGCATTTAGTCCCCTAATCTCTCTCTCTCTCTCTCTCTCTCCTCTCTCTCTCTCTCTCTCTCTCTCTCTCTCTCTCTCTCTCTCTCTCTCTCCTCTCTCTCTCTCTCTCTCTCTCTCTCTCTCCTCTCTCTCTCCTCTTCTCTCTCTCTCTCTCTTCTCTCTCTCTCTCTCTCCTCTCTCTCTCTCTCTCCCTCTCCTCTCTCTCTCTCTCTCTCTCTGTCCTCCTCTCCTCTCTCTCTCTCTCTCTCGCTCTCTCTCTCTCTCTCCTCTCTCTCCTCTCTCTCTCTCTCTCGTCTTTCTCTGCCATATATTGGTATTTTTGGGTACATAT